GGGGGGCGGCTTCAAGAGAGTCGGAGCAGCCACAGAGAAGGCTCTCCTCCGGGGGCCCGCCAGCCAACACTGTCTGGCTGACAGCATCCGAAGGAGGCCCAATCTGTGGGATCTTACTGGCCGCTGGGAGGTATGTGGCAGTAGGCAGTCTCGAAGGTACTCTGGCCCTAAGTCATGTAAGGGCTTTAAAGGTAATAACCAACACCTTGACATGTGGCTTTACGATCTTGTTATATTTCTTAAATCATTGTAGTTAAGTGAGTAACACAGTTGTTAAGCGAATGTGGCTTTCTTCCTGGACTTTGCTTGTCAGAAACAGGCTGGGAAGGTCACAAGAGGTGATCATATGACCCCGGGACACTGCAACCATCCTAAATATGAGTCAGTTGCCAAGTGTCTGAATTTTGATCGCATGACCATGGGGCTGCTGCAGTGGTTGTGAGACACTTTTTTCAGGGCTGTTGTAACGTCAAATGGTCACTAAATAAACTGTTGTAAGTTGAGGACTATCTTTATTTCCTGTATTATTTGAAAGCTTGTAGACACGGAAGTACTCACTGCTTTAGAGAGCCGGAGATCCTTTCCTTGCCATGTTTTGTTTCTCTTAATTTTCAAGCTTAATTAAGGCTTTGTGGTGCATAGTAAAAGTCTTGTGTGTTCTCTTTTAATTCAGGAGCCTTTCGTGACTGTTCCAACATTGTCGTCCATGGTTCAGGGCCTTAGTCTTGAGTCAGCTCCTAGGCCTCCTTCAGGTAAGCTCTCTTGCTATTTAGGATCTGTTCTGACCTAGGCTTCCCCAAAAAACATGAGGCAAAAAACATGAGGCAGAATCCTGGTCCCGACAAAACCCCTTTTATTAAATGAATGTGAATTCCTCTCATTCACATTCAGCAAGGCCTGGCAAACAGTTTTTCAAGCAAGTAGTTATGACCTTGTCTATCTTGGAAAGCTGCCATGTAAATATTTTCCAAATAAGATGCTGTGCAAGGAAAGACTGGGCACAGAGTCTCACTTAGTCTCACAGAGTCTCAAACGAATGAATGAATTGTTTCCTGCAAAAGCCCACTCTCCTTTTGCTCCTCTTTTATTTCCTGTGGGATGGGCCAATCACCTTCCACCTGTGACTACTCCCAAGGCAACCCTGATTTCTTAGCTGTTCTTTTCTTCTGGCAGCTCTGTGCATGAACACAGGCTCCAGCTGTTCCTCTGCCTCACTGCTATCTAGCTTGAAAGGAGCTGAGAACTGTCAGACGGCCCTGGCCCCCCTCTCTGCCTCTGACGCAGAGTCCTTGTCTGAGCCTTTCCCAGCCTCCAGGATTGACCCATGCTCCTACCCAACCTCCTCACTGTCCAACTCTGTTGCCAGCTCTGCTGGCCGCTGGCTGGCCACAACAGGATCTTCCTTCCTTATACCACAGTGATTCTCTTTGGAAGTGTAAGAAGAACTTGTGATTTATCTTGACTTTGTTTTTCAAGCAGTTTGTTCAGGCCGAGGCATTGCAGGGAGAGGAATGGGTGACATGAGCATGAAGCCCAATATAGATGTCCTGGGACCGCAGATGTTTGCAGGCTTGAGAGCAGGACTAGCTGGAGACAGCAAGGTGGAACAGGTGTTTTCTGGCCGTGGCAAGTGAGTTAAGCCATCTTGGGGTCAAGGTGGTTGATAAAAATGGCGAGTTGCATTAAAAACCTTGTAATTTGGTTATTTTGGTTGGTATAGTTTTTGGAGAACTAAGCATGAAGGCTTAGTTTTCTGTTTTTTTTAATTTAAGTTTCAGTGGTAAAAATGGGTGCCTTTATTTTAAGCAGAAACATGTTGTGGCATAGGTAATGACACAGATAATGTGAAAGCAAATGTTCATATTTTGTGCCTTACTACATACCTTCTGAAAAATGGCTGCTTTGGAAAAGAAAACAACAAAATTGTCTTATTTTCTGAGTCGTGAAGATGTATTATTTTAAGTAGTAAAAGTCATGAAGTGATATTAGTGAGATTTATCTAACGTGAACATTGCACACGTATCTGCATTTTTTTGTAATATTTATGTATTTTTTGTAGTATAAGACGCACCTCCCCCCCCCAAAAAAAACATGGAAATGTTGGTGCGTCTTATACATGGAATACAGCCATTTTTGGCCTCCTGAAGCCCCACCCCTGCATCCCATTTTTGGTAAAAACACGCTGCTTTTTGCAAAAAACGGCCTATTTTCTGCCGGTTTTTGCAAAAAGGGGGGCATTTTGCCTTCCCCCAGCCCTGCTGAAGCCTGCATAGTGCTCCTGGGGGCCGGGGAGGACAAAAACCTTTTTTCTTACTTATCTCTTGAAAATCTTGGTGCGTCTTATACACCGGTGTGTCCTATAGTCCGAAAAATACTGTATATGTAATGCCCTTGAAATACTTGTCTCTTCTAGGCTAAGAAAATAAATGGGACAAATCAATTCTGATATGAACTGACTTTTGCTCACACCTTGGCAGTTTCCCTCCGCCCTCCAGATCTGCCTTGGGTGGTTTTCCACTTCCTTAGGAGTGTATAAGGAGTTGGACTGGAAACTGAAAGTCCTCCATTAGACACAGAAGGCAGTTAAGTAACTTCCAGCCAGCCCCTCTCAGTCCAACCCACACACCACAGTGGGGAAAATAGGAGGAGGAAGGAGTATTATGCATGCCACCTTGAAATGTATAAATAAAACTGAGATACAAATCAAAACGTTGCTTTAAAGCTGGTTCAGGAATTCTGGGAGTTGAAGTCCATGAGTCATAAAAGGGCTATTGCCCTCCACCTCTGCTTTAAAAGCATTAAAATGATGCAGAAATTTTTTCTTTGTGCTTTTTAGACATCTTTTTTGTTCCCCTTTTGAATTTTCTCCAGGTATGTGGAAAGTGAAAAGCCATTTTTGGGGCTTGACAAAAGAAACATCTTGGGGCGTGGCCGAGCCTACACAAGCCCCTTCACTTCGCCTGTGGAAGGTCTTCCAGCACCATCAATCAAATCTAGTCCTGCTGTAATTTCGGATGAGCTTGTGGATAAAAAGTAAGTGAGAAATAGTATGAAGAAGGCAACAAAGCCAAACTCCTTTAAGTGTAATAAATGCTGAATGCTGAGATCAGCAAATGAGGTGGGACTGGTTTTTTGATATAGAGTATTTTTTTATTGGCTAAGTGTGTTTGGGTAAATGAGGAATTTGTTTCCAGTGCATAAGCTCTGTGTACATACAAACAACAAAGTGATGTCATGGATACCAATAGGAGCGTGTAATAAGAAAGATGAGAATAATAATGATAATAATCCACTGCTTGGATCTGCACGCATATTACGAAAATATGTTACGACGTCCTAGGCCCCTGGGTGGAGCCCGACTAGTAATCAATGCCAAATCCGGCAAAACAACTGGCTGCTGTGATACAATTCTGTTGTTGCGATTAATGATCCATTGGAATTTGTGCAAAAATTATAATATTAAAACAGCAACAAACTGGTGGGAACATCAGCCTGAAAAAGTCACCGAAAATCAGATGGTCAAGATCTTGTGGGATTTCCGTATACAAACCGACAAAATACTGGCACATAATACACCAGACATCACACTGGTTGAGAAAAATAAGGTCACAATCATAGACATCGCAATACCAGGTGATAGCAGGGTCGCCGAGAAGGAACATGAAAAAATAGCAAGATACCAGGACTTAAAAATCGAAATTCAACGACTATGGCACAAACCAGCAGTGATAATTCCAGTGGTAATTGGCACACTGGGTGCTATTCCAAAAGCACTGGAATTACATTTAAAACAGTTAAAAATTGACAAAATCACCATCAGTCAAATGCAAAAAGCCGCACTGCTTGGATCTGCACGCATATTACGAAAATACGTTACAACGTCCTAGGCCCCTGGGTGGGGCCCGACTAGTAACCAATGCCAAATCCGGCGAAACAACTGGCCGCTGTGATACAATTGTATAATAATAATAATAGAGACCTACTATGTGGTTAAATATCCTTAGGCATAAGACAGTGCTGTGGGGATTAAGTGTTCAGCAGAGTAATGGCACAAGGGAAAATCACATTTTTTGCAGTGCCATTGTAACTTTGAACGGTTGATGAATTGTTGTAAGTTGAGGACTACCTGTATTCTTTCTTATTATAGAATAAATAACAGAATTTTGAAAGCTCAACAGTTTTTGATGCTACACAAATTTCTTTTGAATGCTTCATCTTCTCAGGACTATGTACCGTATTTTTCAGAGTATAAGATGCTCCAAAGTATAAGACGCACCTAGATTTTGGGGAGGAAAACAAGAGAAAAATATCTGCCTCTGCCTCCCAGCAATTTGCCTCCTTCCAACAAACAGTACAGACAATATACACTGTTTGTTGTGTTATTTTTCAGACTATAATTGTACAGACGCTGTTAAAATGTGCTTTCTGGAAGTATAGTTATTCTCTGCTATTTAAAAGAATAGCACTTTTTAAAACAATAGCACTGGGCCTCTTCAGATAAAGCATTTATTTTAAAAAGCCTCTTTATTTTGTTAAGTTGTCTAGAACGATAATAAAGCAGTCTTTAAAAAATAAGTCTAACAATTTGAACATTTTATAGGCACTTATAGTTGTTGATTTACCTCCTTGCAGCAAACAGCCTGATTAGCACAAGAAAAAAAATCTGCCTCCCAGCAATTTTCCATGTGGAGAAAACAGCTAGTTTCACTTTCAATTTCTCCCGATCATCAGCTGTTAGGGATTGCTATAGCTTATTGAAGTCCCCCCCCCTTTGCTTCAAAGAGGTAAATTGCTGGGAGGCAGAGGCCAAAGGATCGGGGGCGGTGAGTGGGTGAGGCTACTGGCAGACCACAACAATCTTAAGAATAGATGTTCTTGACAGATGCATCTTTTTTATTGTATACACTGAATTGTATTTGTTTATGTAAAAATATAAATTGCTAATGCCAAATTTTAGCACACCTTTCATCGAAAAATGGTTATTCCCAGTTATTGCTATTCTAATTCTTTGAACATTGGAAAGTATGCACTATTGAACCAGATACAGTATTCATGAGGTTCAACTTCATCACTGTCTTTCTCTTAAATGAAGCAGAGAAATTAATATAAGTTACACTTTCATCCTTCCAGAGAACCGCTTAAGAAGCAAGGGTCAAAAGGAGTAGCAATTCCTTTGGCATTGAATCTGATTCAAATACACTGTAAAAATGAAGCTGTGTATCAGTACCATGTGACATTCAGGTAATAGTTCTTAAATCTTAACTCTTTCCTCCACAGTTGAAAGCAGTTGCTTTGGGGTCTGCCATGGCTTCAGTAACAATGTGGACAGAAGATCCAATATCTTTTATTCAAATTGTTCTCTTAAGTTGCAGTCCAATTGATGCTTCTTCCCACATCTTATGTGCTAAAATTTAAAGGAATATAAATCATGTTTTCTAGCCTTTGAAGCTATGTGGAAAATCTTTCATACTTTCTAAACCCTGTGACTGTCTTGATATGGTGCTTTCGAAAGTACCAGTTGTCAGCTTTATGAGCTAAGAAGGCACCTGTCCAGATGGTTAGTCTGAACCCAAATATTTATTGCATCCAAGGGCAGCCATTTTATCTAAGTAATTTGACTATGGGTGTTAAAAGTTTTTGGAGGGACCCCCAAATTGTCTGTCCATTGATATATTTCACTAATAATGTAAAGTTGTAGGGAATCTGAACATTTTCTTGTAGAAATGCAGCCGAAAGGCCATGCATCTTCTCTGAAGCCAAGACAGAAAAAGAAAATAGTTACAGCTCTTCCTTGATGCTGTCTTTCAGTGAAATAGTATAGCCAACCAGCATCTAGAGGTTGCCTTTCTACTGACAAAGGAATGAATTGTGACAGTTTTTTTCTGTGTGGATATTTCTGTCTGGAAATACACATTCTTTATTTTTTTCCTGATAAAAATGTACCACCCATTGTTGTTTTTTCTTGATTTTCCTCTTGTCTTCCAGCCCAAACATGGAATGTAAAAGCGTGCGTCTTAGGATGCTGAAGGAGCATCAGTCGGTGATAGGAGACATTTCCGCATTTGATGGCTTTCTTCTCTATTTGCCCATCAAGTTGCCTCAAGTAAGATTGAGGGGGAAAACAGAAGAGTTTGCTGCAATATTATCTGACACTGGCATTTAATTCCAACTCCTTATTTTGTTAGTTGTCCAACCCCCAGTCTATTTGGATGGAGTACCACCTGAATTTTTTTCTGTCTTCTAGGAATAACCAAGCTGATACTGAGCTTGAAATATTTTTAGTTCATGAAGATAAATACTTTTTAAAAAATATGAATTGAAATAGTGATAGTGTGTCCTACGTCCGAATGTTTTCCTAGTCTTCTGTGAGTTTGGAATTGAATTGTGCCCTGTTCATTTATTCTTTTGAATTATACTGCAACTGAAGTGTACCTGATAAGATTGAAATGCTCCTTGTGAAATGAGCCAAAGGACTCAGTTCCTTTCTCCTTTTTCCAGGTTATTTTGTGATTTCTCCAATAGCAGCAGATGACAGTATATCTGAATATCTCAAAGGATTTCACTCTACATTTTAGCTGTGGCTATGACTATTATATTAGTGGATAACTTTGTGCTCCAGATGTTTCTTAATACAATTATGATCTACCTGTCCTGTGATGCCTTGGGTGATGTCCCCTCCTATACCATCCTTCACAAATTATCCAGTGGTTGTGTGGGCATGGTGTGGCTTGGGCGTGGCAGGGGAAGGATACTGCAAAATCCCCATTCCCTCCCCACTCCTGGGGGAAGGATACTGTAAAATACCCATTCCCTCCCCATCCCACTAACCTGCTTTCCAGCTCATTCTCCTGTGCAAAGCAACAGAAGACCCAACCAATCAGCTGGCACTCTTGGGAGGTGGAGCCAGTCAGAGGTGGTATTTGCTGGTTCTCCGAACTACTCAAAACTTCCACTACTGGTTTGCCAGAACCGGTCAGAAGTGGTTGAATGCCATCTCTGAAATTATCCCATAAGATAGTCTATGGAGATTCTCACTCATCCAGATTATGGTTGTTCCAAAGATGCTTTATGAAGAGGCAACTAAAGTTTTTGGTTTTTCTTTGAAGATGTTTTGTTTCTCGTCCAAGGAGCTTCTTCAGAGCTGAAGAGTCTTCTTGGATGAGAAGCGAAACATCTTCAAAGAAAAACCAGAAAAGTCCAGTTGCCTCTTGAAAAATCACTTTTGGGACTCCCGTAAGATAGGTTGAGCTGAGAGAGACTAGTTCAAAGTCATTTAGCTTTCTGTATTTTAAACAGGACTTAAACAAAGGTCTCAACATCTTCATCAATGTAACCTTGAAAATATTAAAGATTTAAAATTGATTTGTTTTCTAACATTTTCTTAAAAGAGAACATGAAAAGAAGGACTAGGGTGTGACATGATAGCAGTTGTCCAATATCTAATGGGCTGCCACAAAGAAGGGGGGGGGTCAACCTATTTCCCAAAGCACCTGAGTGCAGGACAAGAAGCAAAGGATGAAAACTAATCAAGGAGAGAAGCAACCTAAAACTAGGGAGAAATTTCCTGTCAATGAGAACAATTAATCAGTGGAGAAACTTGCCTCCAGAGGTTGTAGGTGCTTCATCGCTGAACGTTTTTAAGAAGGGATTGGATAACCATTTGTCTGAAATGGATTTAGGGTCTCCTGCTTGAGGGGGTTGGACTAGACTTCCAAGGTCTCCTACAACTCTGTTATTCTGTTAATATTACATTAAGCATGAGCTTGCTTTCAAGGGTATCTCTTCAAGGCATCTGTACCCATTAAGAAAAAAAGTTGTCCAATCTTCATGCTTCAAGGGGTTTTCATAACAGAAAAGTTGAGAATCAGCAATATGGCAAAAGAATAAGTATATTAATACAATATGCAATTTCAACAGCAACAAAATAAGGCATAGTTATAAACTGGTTTGTTTCACTTTTCATTTATGTTTCATTTTGTCTTTATTTTGTGTGGATAGACTTTCGAAAACAAAGCACTCTGAAATGTTACTCTTAGCTTGAGATGGCTAAGTTATACATAACATCTTTTTACTGCAACATTTACTTATTGGCAGGAATTGGAACTGATTATTTTGTAATTTATTTTGTAAACATAATTGTTTTGGAATTCTTAGGCTGTCTTTTACTGACCTCTATTTGAGTTCTGATAGAATATATTTCTTCTACTTTAGAATATTAACCTGAAGTGTGTAAGAAAGACAGATGGAATGGAAGTCAATTTAAAGATACAGATGACCAAAATTCTGGAACCAAGTTCAGAGTTGTGTATCCCGTTTTACAACGTTATTTTCAGAAAGTGCGTAATTTCTGCTGTTTCACATCTGGACTTGAAACATCCCATAAGTACAGCCGTTCTTAAAATAAATGAATGTTATACAAAATACCAATGTTAAAATGCTTAGACCTGTTTTCTTTTAATTGAATTTATCAACATTGGCTGAATGTTGACCACTATGGATAACATTTCCAATCTCTGTAATTGAATGAGTGTGAGCATTTTTATTTGATGTGTCAGAACAAAAACTCGATAGACCTAACCTAGAAAAGCTTTGCACAATTAATCGTTCAAATATAACATTCATGTTTATTTTAAAGCCAGTTCATTTTAATATATAGCAGTGCAACTTTAAACCATCAATTTGTATCTGTTTACTCAGAAGGAAATGTGGACCTCTGTAATGAATGGGGGCCAAGTGTCCTATATAAGATATTGGGAAAATTTTACAACTGGAGTTTTATACAAATAGACATACTATGCAGAGAAAGGATGGGATTTAGATTTTTGCATTGTGCAACAAGTACGTGATGATTACATGAAATATAAATGGTTGCAAGGCTCTGTTTATTTTTAAATAGATATATGTTGTAGTGACCAGTTGGCATGCTTATCATTTCAGTACAGATAAAAGAAGTGATTGTAAATTATTTTGATTGGTTCTTTTTCTTGGTGCTTGAAATTACCTTAATCTCAATTAATCTACATACTTCATGAAAGAGGGTACAGCAGTTTTCTCTGTCAGCAGTACAGATAGTTTCTGTTGCTAAGCGAGACATTTGCTAAGTGAAATTTACCCGATTTTATAACCTTATGTGAATCACTGCAATTGTAAAGTTATTGACATGGTTGTTAAGTGAATCGGGCTTCCCTATTGACTTTGCTCATCAGAAGGTTACAAAAGGTGATTTACATGACCCCTGGACACTGCAACCGTCATAAATATGAGTGAGTTGCCAAGGGTCTGAATTTTGATCAGGTGATCATGGGGATGCTGCAACAGTTGTAAGTGTGAAATATGGTCATAACTCACTTTTTTCCTGTGCTTTTGTAACTTTAAGTGTTCACTAAATGAACTGTCCATAAGTCAAGGACTACCTATACACTTTACTGCAACCTGATCTAGTCGAGGTGCATTCAGGATCCGAATCAATTTGGGATAACAACTGAGGCCACATAGAAAGTATAGGTAGGATTATATATAGTAATGTAGACTGCAGAGAAAAAACCCCATTGGCCTTTGGATCAATCCCTATTTTAACCAAAGATTCCAGGTAAGGGAAGATTTTGATTCTTGGCTCTTGCTCATCAGGCTCGAGAAGTAAATGGGAAAGGTCAGCAGTTTGGTGGTTTGAATCCCTAGCTCCGTGTAACGGAGTGAGCTCCCCTTACTTGTCCCAGCTTCTGCCAACCTAGCAGTTCAAAAGCATGCAAAAATGCAAGTAGAAAAATAGAAATCACCTTTGATGGGAAGGTAACAGCATTTCGTGCGCCTTTGGCGTTTAGTCATGCTGGCCACATGATCACTGAGACGTCTTCAGACAGCCCTGGCTCTTCGACTTTGAAATGGAGATGAGCACCGCCCCCTAGAGTGGGGAACGTCTAGCACATATATATGAGGGGAACCTTTACCATTACTATTATTTAAAAGGAGTGTCAAACTCTATTTCATTGAGGGCCACATCAGGGTTGGGCATGCCCAGCTCGACATCACTGTGGTAGCCTGAGCACTCTTGCCAGTGAAAACACAGCTCTTGGCATCCACATGTGCTCCTCAACCCTCCAAGCTTTTTTTTTGGCTGTGAAGGCCTCCTGCAACCCTCTGTCAGTGAAAGTGGAGTTGGGGAGGGGGGGCGTGTGCCAAGGGTTTGGGAGCGTTACTAACAGAGGGTTGCAGGAGGTCTTCGCAGCCTACAACGGAGCTTGGATGGGGGGGGCATGCGTGGCCATCCCAAGCTCCATTTCCGCTGGCAGAGGCACCACGGGCCAGTCCTCTGCTGTTTCCTGGGTGGGCCCGTGAGCCAGATCTAAGCACCCCATGAGCGAGATCTGGCCCACAGGCCTTGAGTTTGACACACATACACACACCCCAATTTAAAGGAATGGAGCCTGCATTTAGATCCACTCGAGATGAAAAGTAGAATGAGGCCGTTTCACATCTGCTGCACTGCTGGATGCTGGAATGCAAGTGGACTTTGGGTTGTGCTTAGTTATTCGTCTTGAAATCCTGAAATGAAAGAAAAGCTAGGTTCTTCTGGCCTCCTTTGGTAATGGGACTGGAACGATAGTAGAGATTTTCTGTGCCAAGAGTTCATGCTTTAAACAGCAATCTCATTTCTCGCACGGTGCCATGTGCTTTCATCGGCCATTGTATATGGCAAGTATTAAAGGATACCATTCACGGAAAGACTCTGTCCCTGCGGCTCAGGAGAGGGGGAGACTGTGGGTCACATGATCCTTACAGGTTCCTTTTATACAGAGATTAGGAAAAAACATATTCTACCAATAACCGCTAAGTATCATAGCTGTTCCAACACTACCTATCTCCAGTGGCTGCTTAAGGATGAATAGTCTATAACTACAGTGCAGGTGGCCAGTTTCTGTGCAGCAGCCCTGGAGATTCGTCGCAAACACATGTCTTCTCCACCATAGCGATGTTATGTAACAATTGTGGCAAACCCTTTGCGCTGCTTAGTCACCTACAGTTTAGGGATTGCAACTATCTTATAGTCAGACCATGTATAATTGACACTGGATTTTATTATAGATTTTAGTTGTTATTTATTATTTCATAGTAGAAGTTTTAACTGAATGTATACTGAGTGCTTTTATTTGTTCTGGTCACTGGTCTAAGACTGTAATAATAAATTGTTGTTCCCAGTGTCATATTTATCTTGGTGTTTTTTTAAATGTTATTCTAGAGTGATGAAGATTTTAGATATGAAACTTGTTGGGAGAAATTTCTATGATCCTACCAGTGCTACTGTTCTTCAGCAGTACAGGTTGGTATGTTGCTTTGTGCACTACAATGTTTTTGTCTTTGATTAATTGAACTATATGTTGTGCAATAGAAATAATATTCTTTTAAAATGTATGATGCTGATATATTTTCACATATTCTATAGCAAAACCTCAATAGGTGCAAATTGATTTACTTTAGCTAATTGCACTGTATACCAAAATTAGCTGCCTTGTGTTTTTGGAAAGACTTAAAATAATACATATTTTTGGTGGATTATTTTATTCATTTATTTGTTCCTCAATCCTAGTGAGTTTTGGATAGTCTATGAACATTAATAATAATAAAATATATAGTAATAAATTGGGCTGCAATTTCATCACGTAATAACTTGTGTTTGTTCTGTGAAAGTATATTTTAATAATCAGTTGCATATTAAAACTTATTGGAATTGTAAACAGTGAAAACAGACAGCAGCAATTATTAACAATGACTGTGTTTATAAAATCAATTTGCATCTTTTAATAAAAGAGTTTCTGTTTGTTACTAAAAATTAGCCTCTGTGTATTTTTGTCAAAGTTTGCAAATATGGCCTGGCTATGCAACCAGTATCCGAAAGACAGATGGTGGCCTGTTTTTGTTGGTTGATGCTGTTCATAAGGTTATTCGGAATGATTCAGTCCTGAATTTGATGTGAGTAAAAATGATGATATCTTAAATATTTATAGAGAGCTGGTGCCATCATAGAGAATCATAAGATGATGTTGATCCTGTGTGCTTTAGAATGCAGAATCCTCAGAATAAGTTTATATTGAACTATCCAATATGCCAAGTATCTCTCATGCAGTTCATTATTTGGCTGTGTAAGACCATTCTACACCATTCAAAAGAGAATTAAAAAAAACAACCCAGAAGGAAACAAAAAGGCTACATAACCCATCCCCTTCAGCCACCAACATTCAGATAAGCAGGGATCAGCACCAATCGGACCAAAAACAATATTCTAATCAAGGAACAACCAAATAGGAAATTACATTTCCACCAAAACTGACAGGGAAAACTACTGAATATAAACAGGCAGCAAACCCTTCCCTCACTTGCATTGGAGGTGTTACCTAGTTGGCTAATGAAACATCTGTAAGCAAACAACCAAGGTCAGAGAGCACCAAGAACTCCAAAGCATTGCTAAGTTAGGGTAAGATGAGTGTATTTGGCAGATGGGATGCTGCCAGTGGGGTAAACAGACTTCTTTGGTAAACTCAAGGTGAGACTACAACTTGTGCCTTCCTGATTTTTAACTTGAAGCATTTCTGTTTTCATAAAGGCATAGAATTTATCAACAGAGTCGGGAAAATTTCCAAGACGAATGTACAAAGCAACTTATTGGCAACATCATAATTACCCGTTACAATAATAAAAATTACCGAATTGATGACATTGATTGGAACAAGACACCACAGAACAGTTTCACCATGTCAGATGGGAAGGAAATCACTTTTCTAGAGTATTACAGGTAAAAGATTACGATTCAGTGTTTCTGCAATGTCGAGATAAGATGGGAAAAAGAAAATAATTAATGGGAGTAAGACATCCAGTGTCTTGCTTAGGTTTTGTTAAAAGTGTCAGCCATTATCAGTCATTAAGTACTTTGGCTTAATTAGAATTGTTTTTATTAGGTTTTTAGCTGTTGATATTTAAAATTATCAAGTGAGTTTTGTTTTCTTCCTAGAATTCATATAACATTCTCTTTCCAGTAAAAATTATGGGATCACCATTAGAGAACTTGACCAGCCACTGTTGATTTACCGAGTTGAAAAAAGAAAAAATCCTCCAGAAAAGGTGATAATTTGAGCAGTTGCAATTAGAAGCAACCAATTTGTAATGCAGTCCTCACTAAAATGGCTTGATTTATGTGACTTGTCTTGGGCGAGGTTCCTGGACTAGGAACACTTTTGAGCTATGACAGAGGATTATGGGAATTACTATGGGGCAAATATCATGGTGGGTGTGGCTTTGATTTCTCCCACCATCACCCCACCCCCTCAGATATTCCCCGCAGGTTGTTGGGTTTTTTGTTAATAGATTAGTTAATTTAGAGGGAAGCTTTAGGCTGTGATGCCCCTCACTCTTATAGCTTAAGCCCTTGTATAAATACAAGCATTCAGCTGGCATAATATTGGAAATTGTTGGTCAAGCACTTCAACCTTCCTCTCTTCCAGCAACAAATAGGAAGAGAGGATGGGTCTTAACTATTGAGTCTTTCAAGAAAAGACTGGACAGCCATTCATGTGAAATGGTATAGGGTCTCCTGCTGAAGCTGGGGGTTGAACTAGATGACCTGCAAGGTTCCTTCCAACTCTGTTATTCAATGTTCTGTTTATTACTGCTAAGAAAAGATATCTCTGAGTGTTAGTCATAAGCTATTAGCTCTTGTGTTAACTATGCTAGCCCTGGACTAGTCCGACTATCACTTAATGTTTATTCACAGGGTTTGGAGAGAAAATTGTGATAATTAAAAAACCAAACCCACACCATCTATTTGGTTTTCTGGTCACCATTCCCTTTCCTTCCTTCCTACCTAATCTGTATATGGCATATATCAACCCAGCTGATTTTATTAATGATTTATTTCTGTATATGATGTGTGATAATAGGTTTTGTTTTTAATTTTCCTGCAGCTTCAGGAAGGTGAAATCCTGTTAGTGCCAGAACTTTCCTTCTTGACAGGCATTCCTGAGAAGATGAGAAAAGATTTTAGAATTATGAAGGTGCTTGACTATATACTTTATACAGAATTGGAATTTGTTTATACAATTCTCAACCTCTTACTACATCAAATATTTGGCCTCACCAACTTTTAAGTCAGAGCCCTAATTTTGTTATTTCAATAGCATCTGAAGCTTTCCCATCGCGCTCTGCTTGAAGAAGGATTCCCTTGGCCTCCCACAGATCCCACGTGGCTATGTAGTGACATAATGGTGGCTGACATTTTAAGCTTGTCAAATCAGCCAAAAGTTGTAGTTGCTAATCACTAACAATTTACTCCTCCTACTCAGATCACAAGATAACAATGGTATTTTTCTTGTAAAGAGGTTATTGGACTTCTAATATATATGAAACACATAAGGGAATATCGCTCCTGCTGCCTTGAGTCCAGAAGCAGTTTTACAGGTGGAAGATGTAAACATTTTGTTGAGGTACCGATGTTTAGTACTGTAAGGAGCCCCAGGCCGCTCCTGAGTGAAGGAGTGGAACTGCCAGTTTGAACTGAGGTAACGGAATGTGAGGCAACTGGTAGTCGGAACAGAGTTCTTTTCAGGTGGGGAGGGGGAGTAGAACTCCTTAGTATCAGAGCGTGTTAATTATTGTATAAGAAATTGTGGCTTTACTATAAAAGTAATTTATCACTATTTTTCACACTTACAACTGTTGCAACATTCCCATGGTCACATGATCAAAATTTAGACGTTTGGCAACTGGATCATATTTATGACTGTTGCAGTGTCCCATGGTCACGTGATCCCCATTTGTGACCTTTTGACAGCAAAGCCAAATGGTGATGCCAGATTCACTTAACAGTAGTGTTACTAACTTCACAACTGCACCGATTCACTTTACAATTATGGCAAGAAAGGTCATAAAGTGGAATAAAGCCTACTTAACTATCTCATTTAGCAGCAAAAGGTTGGGCTCAATTGTGGTTGTAAGTCAAGGATTCTGTTCAGAGGTGTCTACAGGTTGTGATTAAAAAACCCTCAAGATGGTGATCAATAAGTGTGCCCCCCCCCCAAAAAAATCTGTTTTTTTATGTGCAACTAGCCGATAACCCGGTGTTGCCTGGTTATAGGGGGGAAACGTCCAGACCAAATGTAATTTCTAATGTTGGATTACCAGAGGGAAGCTCCTCCTTCAAACTGTTGCTTTGCTGGTAATTTGTGTATGCTTCCTTTTTTGAATGCAAGCTAAAGTGCCCCCCCTTGCTCCCCCCCTCTTGTGTCCACTCTGCTCAGGACCTTACGCAGAAAGTCAACATGAGTCCTGAACAGCATCATGCCTCTTTGCTCCAACTCCTGAGCAGAATTGAGAAGAATGAGAATGCCCATAAGGAATTGTCCCGGTGGGGGCTTTTCTTGCATGGAGATGTGTATAGGGTAAGGAAACTTTGTGTTAGCTTTGTCAGATAGGATCCTGCCTATTTTATGAAAAATGATTTTGACAAGAAGAGATTAAGGAAGGTGAAGATTACCTAATTTTGGGAGGAGGATGTGGGCCCCGCAGTGGAAAAGACCTACCTTATGGAGTGCAGTTCCCTGGAGGGGGAACCTGGAGCATGTCTCTCTTGCCAGAGCTGATGGGAGGAGCTGGTGTAGTTGGGGAAATGTGCTTCCTCAAATAAATCAACCCGTGTCATAAAAAGCATTAAAGATCCTAGACAGAAGGTCTGCTGCTGAACCGTGTCAGTTTTTTTTTAAAGGAACAATTCTCTCCCCAGTGTGACTCCCTTTTAAACTTTTAAACTTTTAAAACTGAAATTCAACTTTTTAAAAAACAGGTTAACAGAGTTGGAAGGAACCTTGTAGGTCATCTAATCTAACCCACTGCCCAAGCAGACCCTACACTATTTCTGACAGATGGCAGTCCAGTCTTTTCTTGAAAGCTCCCAGGGTTGAAGCTGCCCCAACTTCCGAAGGCAACTTCTGTTCCATGGGTTGATTGTTCTCACTATCAGAAAATTCCTCCTTATTTCCATGTTGAATCTCTCCTTGTTCAGTTTCCATCCATTGTACCTTATCTGGCCTTCAGGTGCTTTTGAAAAATAGCTTGACCCCCTCCTCTCACTGGCAGCCTCTCAAATATTGGAAGACTGCTATCTTGTTTCCCCTGGTCCTTCTCTTCACTAGACTAGCCAGGCCCAGTTCCTGCAACCGTTCTTCATATGTTTTAGTCTCCAGTCCCCTAATTTGTACTGTAGTACAGAACATCTCTATGAAGCCTGCATTTTTCAAGAAGTTAGACATGGAGTGGTTGGTGAATCAAGATTACAGGTGGGGAAAGGAAACAAAAATAAGCTTTACGTTTGAGTAGTCATAGGGGGAAAAAACCTCTTCCTTTTTGTGAGTTGTAACTTTTAAAAGATTTTTAATTCTTCAACTCTGTTGCCTTGAGCTTCTAATAATCAGATTTAAAATGACTGCCAAAGTAGGTCAGGTGCTGTCCACCAGCTCAAGGCAGGAATGAGGTGACAAATTCAGGGATCAATCTTACAAAACTTTCTGATCAGGGCCCAACATTTGCTACCTTTGGGTAAATACTCTTAGGACTTTGCAGAAATGGATGACCTATTTATTTTCTGTTATTAACAGTTGTCCTAGATCTGTGATGGCGAACCAATGGCACGCGTGCTGGAAGTGGCATGCAGAGCCATCTTTCTGGGCACACCATCCGTCACCCATTGCTTTTCTGGGTTCCAGCATGCACATGCGTACTGGCCAGCTGGTCTTTGTCCGTGTGGGAGCACCGGAAACTAAGAGCAGTTCCCTGGCATACATGTGTGCACCGGGAAGCTGAGCTTCTGTTTCTGGCATGTACATGCACATGGTCACCTGGTCTTCCGGTTTCTGGTGCACATACACACGAGAAGACCAGCTGGCCGGCGTGCATGCACGGGCTGGACACTGAAAGATCACCTTTCTGGCACGCTGGTTTCCAGTGCTTCCCCACCCACATGCGCACTCTCCCATTTTGGCACTCAGACCTGAAAAAGGTTCGCCAACAGTGTCCTTGCTGCTGAAAAATAATTGCAAAATAAAGAGAAAAGAATACATAGGTTAGCTATTTATTTTCTATAATGTAGTTAACCTAAACAAAAAAAAGGAAGTAGGGGATAGTAGGGAGATCATTTTCTGGAAGGTCATAAAGATCTGGCTTTGTCTCAGCCTGAGTGTTTCAGGGGACCAGTGAGATGTTGAAGTGGCGACATTGCTCTTATTTTATTTTTAAAAATATGACCGTGTTTAATATGTTTATTGTTTTATGCTGTTTTTGCTTATACGATGTCCAGAATCACTTCTTGTGAGATGGAGGAGGCAGAGCAACAAATTCTCAGTCTCGCAGTTCTGCCTTGTACAACTTCGTAGAGTTTGAAAATCACAACACGCTTTTGCTGAGCCTCTTTTAAATCTGTGAAATAGCTGCTCATGCGAATGGAGCTTCACACGCAAGTGCAAGCGCCCTCTGTTATGGCACAAAGCTCCATTTGCGTACATGGAGGGCCTGTGTGCCTGATGCTCGCACAAATGGAGCTGTGCGTCCACCTGCCACACACACACACACACACACACACACACACACTTGCACAGGGCCGCCAAGCTGGAAAGGTTAGGAACAGCTGCTTTAAGACATATTTGGTGCTTAGCTCTGGGATTAAAATGGGCCGAGGGCTGTCACAGGTCTAGCCTTGTATACAGCTTGACTGTTTTCTTTTTGTTTGTTTGTTTCAGACCACAGGACGCGTCCTTCCCATGGAAAGAATAAATTTGAAGAAGTCCTCCTTCAATACCTCGGAAGACCTAAACTGGACTAAAGAAATCAGCAGAGACTCCTGCATTTCTGCAGTAAGTTTAACTTTGGGTGTGGGGCACTCTTCTGTAGGGTGTAACAGCATTCTCTTCAATATACACCAGTAGTCCTTGACGTAACAAGAGTTCATTTAGTGACCATTTGAAGTTATAACTGCACTGAAAAATGTGACTTGTGACTGTTTTTCAGGACTGTTATGGCATCTCCATGGTCACATGATCCAAATTCAGATGCTTGGCAACCGACTCATAGTTATGTGTTCTGACCCCCTCCTCCGTCCAGTAACGAAAGCCGAGACAAACTTAACTAGAATGTACTTTTAATAGCAAGAAGCCAAAATCTTGGTGGCTGAAAGCCA